AAAATTTCAGTGCTCTACGATGAATAGTTATCGAGAAAATTTCTGATAAAGTCAAAAATATCGAGAATTTAAATCCGACTATAACTTCAAAACTATTAGGAATTTTGTAGTTTTTTTGACGCCAATCGATTCCCCGGAACATTTTACATAGGTATAGGTCAAAATATTATGTCATTGAGGCACAGTTTTGCCGCAATTTACAAAACAAAAAATTAAAATTTGTTAACATAAAAAAATTAAACCTAAATCTAAATCTAAATATATTCTTGATATTGGAATGTTCTCAAATAACGAATTAAAATTTATTAGCAATAAAAAAAATGTATTTCAAGTAAATTGGAGCGCTTTTAATGCCCATTATTTACGTTTTGGTTGTACTGAAATAACAGCAACAGATTTCGCCAAAATTAAAGTAAAACATGTTTCACTTTTTTACTTGTTTAAAAACGAAAATTGAAAACAATAAAAAAGTAAATAATACAAGTAATTAAAATGTAACAGATACCTTAAATAAATAACACAATAATTGAATTTTCACGCATCTCGTATTTCAATTATTTAAAACCCGATATATAATTGCTATAAATATTCCCCAAAACGTGTAATTATTGTAACAAAATAAATGTAAATTTCGTTGTAAATTAACTCAATTGCCTTGTTAATTTAATTTATATCAAAGTTTCGCAACAAATTAATTAATTAAACCTCACCAATTTGCTTCGGATAAGGCAAATTCAGATTCTCCATAATCTTCACAAATTCTTCCAAACTCTTCGTCAGTCTCGGATTGAGACGTTTCTCTTCATCGACACTGCTCATCATCATTCCCCTGTAATCATGGGCCGGGAAAAGTCGCGTTTCTTCAGGCAAACTGAAGATTTTTTCATGAACATTTTTATACAAGGTCGCTGAATCGCCCTCCTGAAAATCGGTCCTTCCGCAACCCCGGATGAGGACAGCGTCGCCAGTGAATACTATACCCTGAAAAAAATGATAAACATTTATGGCTTCATAAAAATTCAATCAATTTTGCGACATTCGAATAAAATGTGTCAAGAGTCGATTAAAGATGTAATTTCGTAGATTAGTTGAGAAGTTTCCACACGAGATTTGCTTTCATAACTAGTAAATATACAAATACAGGGTGTTTTTTTTAATATTGTAAAAAATTGCGAAAAAAAGCTTTGTTATTAATGTTATTTTTCGATGTGAAATATGTGGTTGCAATTTAGTATATGTTTTTTTTTATAATTATTTGGTAAAGGTACAAAAATTTTACCAATAAAAGCAGTCAAAGTGCAAAATCTATCATTTTTCTTTGGGGTGCGAGTTCCGGCGCACCCTGTATTAAAATATAGGGTGTTTTCTTAACATTGCGAAAAATTGCAACCACATATTCTACACCGAAAAGTAACACTAGTTTGTCAAATAAACTATAGTCCTTTGAAGCTTTGTTATGGATATACAGGGTGATGATTTTTTGTTATTAA